AAATGATTAGTTTGCTTAAGTTCACCATGGCAAACTTTCTTGATGTCTGCTAAGTCTTGACGTATTTTCTTGAGAAGAGCGCGACCTATTTGATTTTCACGATCGAAAAATCTGAACAATGGATTTTTGATACTGTCTGCAGTACGATTCATGGAAGTTAATTTCTAAAAAAGGTAAAACAATTTTAGTATTGATTTTATGGTTTTATAACAGGAATTCATAATTCTAATGAAAAAGAATGCTTACTTCTGGTAACATCTTCATCCAATTTTCGACACTACTGTAAAGAGCACGCATCCAGGCTGGTTGAGCAGATGCTCCTGATGATTCAGAACTTGATTCTTGTGTATATGCAACTTCATCATCATCGGACAAACTTTTCATCTTACGAATTTTAGAAAGCATTGCATAACCTAGAGTGAAGAGCAAAATGTAAAAAACTCTTGATTGGATTGTGGTATCGCTTCATAGTTTGAGAAAACTTTAATACATACCTTTGCTTGTGGACAATACTTTTTCAGCGTTACTTGGCAATCCTAACCAAACAGGTGGCTGTCTTTCGGGAAGTTTATTAACCCAGTTCATGAAATGATCTAACTTACTACCTTCGGGCGTAACCAAGTTGTCAGAGCCTTCAACATCGACAAGTGTAAATTCAAGATCATAGGCAGCTGGCGTGAATAAGCTGTTAACAAAACATTCCAATAGACGCTTATCAAATTCGTTATCAATACGACCACCATAACCAGAAATAGTAATCAATGAACGCATAGCTTCCCAAGGGATTTTATCAGGAGAAATATTAGTTCTGCCCTGAGCGACAGAGTCCAACCAAGTGTCAATTGTGTTTATTGCAAAATCTTGATCTGATTCATTAAATTCGTAGATCTTGGTCCAACCAAGAGGACAATAACGAAGACGTTCCTGAACAATAGCATGTAACCACGCAAGCATGAAATATAATCTGATTCGTTCGGTAGGACCCTTTTGAAGACGACTTGGGGCAATAGCTTTAAGAGAATCTGTAAGGTTGGCCTTGATACCAGGTGGAGGTTCGAACATAAGTATACGAGATAGACGCAATAGATTCACCGGCACCTTTGGGTTTGTTTCCATGGTCAGGAACAATCTAAAGTTCTTGTGTGCTTTCATACTGTGTAATTTCTTTTCTAATTGACCTAACCAAGAAGGTGCGAGATGTACGTTCTTCAATAAAACCCAGTTACCATTCTTAATGGAATTGGCAATGGCTTGATCGGCAAGAGTAAAACCTTCTTGTGATCCCATAGCAACCGATGTACAACGAACGTTAAGTTCAGCAACAAGATTATCAACTCGGAAACTTGCATCGTAACCAGGAACCGAACATAAGGAAATTGGAGTAGCTGGTTGAATTTCATCCAACACCAAAGCCTGAAAGTCTAAATCTGTTTGGTTAATGAAACCTGGATCGAATGCAATACCGACTAGTTGAGTCACGGCAGGAATTAATCTATCTGGTCTGAAACATTTAACAAGCAAAATCTTTCGTAATTGTACGACAGAAGCTAAGAAAAAAAAAAAATGAAAAATTAAGATAAGAATATGACGAGAAACTATAATAAAAAATTATTACAACTTTTTTATTCTTACCAGGTAATCCACTATCCCAACATACAGGAACACAAGTTTCAGCAGGATCAGTCGACAAAAATTCTTTCCAATCTGATAAGTTACTTACTATATGTTTAGTAAGTTTAGAAAAGCATGGAAGGGTAGTGAACTCTTTGATTTTACATAATTGATCAGAATCGAAAAGGTCAGCAGGTAACCCTAATTCTCTTGCGGTAGCGGTTGACCCTGGAACCACATCACCACCACTTAATAAGTAATCGTATTCGACTTCATCCACTGCGTTGGGGGAACCACGCAACTTAATTTGGGATAATAGAATTGCATATGTAACATAATCCTCATGCATCAACGAACGTGAAACACGTTTAAAAGAGACGTTGAAAAGATCACGTCTAAGAATTTCTAATCTACTAGAAGTGTCCTTAATGTCTTTAAGGTTAGGATTTTCATGAAGAATATATTGAAAGATTTCATAAAAGTATTCAAGAGAGAATTGATAGAAATGATGTAACAAGTTCATTTGTTCCATAACGAAGAATACCGAACTACAGGCTTGAGCTAGGGGAGTATATTGTGCTGTAACTTCTTCAACTTCTTGCATAATGCTTTCTGTTTCTTGAACCTTTTGAGTAATCTCGGCCGCTTCTTTTTTCAACGTTTCTAAAGTGTCCAAAACTACAGCATCATCCAAGATATTACCTTTCGAATCGTTCAAAGCTTGTAAAAGAGATTTTTCAAGATGCCTTAATTTTAATTTAAATTCACCCTGAAGTTTAATTAAGTCGGTTCTCTTTTGATCAGTATCGGGTCTTTCAACCTTAAGAACTTGATTAAGACATTGACTTTGTAAGCTACCGCGAGTTACAGTGAAATTGACGAATGTGACACGACTGCATACGTCTGGAGGGAAATTGACAGATGGGTCACGTGTTGAAAGGAATAGTGTAAATGATGGAGAGAAATCAATATCTTGTCCTCCCAAACGGATCAAGACACGACCTCCAGTACGACGCAATTCTTTGTTAAGTACAGCATTTAAAATAGGGTCGAGATGTTCAACATCCTGAATTAATAATGGATTACCAAAACGAAGAGCACTTTCCAAGTTTTTGGTGAATGAATCATCCAAGAAACTAGTAATGCTAATCTTCCTATCCTTAAATTCACTCATCAAAAAGCCAGTAGCTTGACCAGATGGGTCGATAATTAATGGATATCTATTAAAGCGCTTGAGCATAATAGCGTTTTCTGTACAGAGATCATCCGCAGGAAGTGAATTTGCTTGCCAAGAAAGACGATCATCGGCAGTTGAAAGATATTCTGTTAATGATAGATCTGGTTTGAATTGAATATTGGCATTGACGAGGTGACTTGTCCATTTGCTTATTAATATTTCACGATATTGTTGATCAAAGTAACCACCATAGGCGAGGAAAGCAGATGAAAGCAAGACGTCACCTACAATTGTACCCATTTGTGTTTCAAAAGCTTGACTACCACTTTCCCATCTTTCCTTTTCAGATGCTAAACTAGAAAGAAGTGTTAAACTACGATCGACTTTGGTCTTGACTTTCAACATAACATCTTGAATAGTCTGTTTCTGACTAATTAAGGATTCATAATCTGTTTTATATTCTTTGATTTTATCTTCCAACTCGCCAATCATTTTTTGAATACTAACAGCCTTCATTTTTGTTTCTTCTTGTTTCTTTTGTAATTGATCTACTTCGTTACGTAAAGGACCGACTCTATCTAAAATTTCGGAATAGTTAACCTGAGCACATGCCCATTTGACTAGCGGTCCACAAGCTTTACTAGCTCTGTTTACTTGTTCATAATTGTATTGAGGTTTATTCATATATTCATTAATCATTTTCTCTCTCAGAGGTCTTGTCATTTTAACGTCAGTATCAAAGTTTACAATACTTGCAATAAAGTCATCACGACGAATGATACCTTGCACAGCTTTCCAACTATCGATTTTAAACCCGAGCAAAGTACAAACTGAGGTCATAGCAAGTTTTACAGCTTCAGGAGGATTAGCCATAGCACGTACTTCAGAAAGATGATTTTTCTTAATACCCTGTACACTCTTCTTTGCTTCTTCGACAGCTGGTTCTGCATTCGCCAAGTCTTTTAATACAACGCTACGACGTGCCGTGATTTCCTCGTTTTGAAAATTAAGATTAACTTGAATTTTTTCAGATTCTTTCTTTTGTTCTTCAGCAATTTGTTGATCACCAACCATCTTCTTCAATTTTTCATTGGCTTCTTTGTCTTTAGCTAGAAGTTCTTCTTTCTTTTTAGCTAAACTAACACGAAGTTCTTCTACAGTTACTACAGTTTCTTTTAATTTATCTAAACCAACGTTCAAATGACGTTGCTGCTCTTCTAAATCTTCTCGTTTCTCATTGAATAAACGTACATAATGATTGATAAAGTCCAAATAATGACGTGGTGTGACATAATTATAGCGTCCTTGTCGTTTGCTCAATTTTGCATTAATGTCGTAGAGTGATTGATGGACAAAGACAAAGGCATTAACAATAGCATTTCGATGTATAGGTGGAAGAGATAAATTACGGTACGCAATAGGGAAGTTAGCTGGCGGAGAGTAATTCTGAACATCTAAATCCAGGTTATGTGTAAATTCCATGCCAACTTGGAAGAAGGCCTGGTCTGACCAATCACCAAACCAATCTAATACACAACGATTGAACAAGGCAGGGGAGGTAGCAGCACGGGAAGCGAGACCACCTTCAGGAGGATTCATTGTAAATACAACGTGCAAATTCTTCATTACTTGTTGTGTAAACCACTTATATAATTCTTCTTGCGAATCTAACATCAGGCCTTCTCTTTGAGCTCCTTCTTTACATCCTGTCATTAAAGTATTGTATTCATCACCTTCGAACAACCCAGGAACTTCAGCATTGGCAAGCAACGTATTCATACGTTCCAAGAAACCAGAATCTAATACATTGGATTCATCCATAATGAAACATATCTTTTCTCCTTTACAGCCAGATCGTCTCAAGACGACACGAAGGTCTTCATCAAAGTCATCACCAGTATATTTGTTATGAGCCTTTATTTGGAAGACACTTAAGCCGTTCATCCAAGCAACAAATCTAGATAAAGTAGTTTTACCAGAACCACTAACACCGATCAAAAGTAAATGTCCTTGCATTTGTCTGAATACACGATCAATTCGAAGTACATGATCTAATACATCATTGAATAATACCAACGGAACATCCAATTCTTCTTCATAGAAGACCTTAAGACGAGCTTTAACATAGTCACGTAAATCTTCACGTTCAACGGGAATATAATATTTAGATAACCAATTGGAGAATAAAATTGGACGTCCTAATGCTTCTTGTTGGTTTAAACTAGGGAAGTGTTTCATGGCAATGGAATCAATATTATCATCCGTCCATTTCTTTTCATCTTCAGTGACAAGACGATCTTGGAACAATCGAAGAGCTTCATGTGCCCAGATACGAACAAGACCTTCAAGAGACAATGTTTCCATTGGCTTAATGGCTTCAAATATACCTCTCATCCATCGAGTCAATTCACGAGGAGAGTAAATGTAGTGAGCTTGAATATCTGGTGTGAAATGTTTTTGTGATGCAAGATAGAAATCTACCATTGCTGCTGTAAGAGGTTCCGCATAAGCCCGAAGTGCAGGAACAACTTTTAACATGGCACGTGAGAAAGTACCGTAAATTTGGTTAAGAGATATTTCACCAGGATAATCAACCATTACTAGAGGTGAATGACGAAGGAACCTATAAGTTAATGGAACACGACCAGGATCGGTTGGAGGATTACAAGCGCCAACAAATTGAATACGTTCAAGTTTAACCCATGCTTTATCTGTAGTTCTCCAGTAACCACCATATTCAACTAATTGCCTCAAAAATGAAATAACGCGTTGAGTTCCGTATTTATCAGTAGCAGGTAGATTAATTTCATCACAGAAAACAACAATCCAACGACCGATAAGTAGGGGCGATAATATCACTCCGTTAGGCGTCTTTCGATATTCACAATATTGTTCAAAAGTTTTCAAAATAAGTTCAGGAGTTGTAGCACTAGAGAAATTGAGACCTACAACTTCCATATCAGGTAATTTTCTGAGAGCACTGAAAAGCGTCATGGTTTTACCAGAACCTGGAGGACCACAAAGCAAAAGTGGTTTATGTTCTGATAACCAAGAATATAAAACTTCTTCGTGACGTACAGTATCCACAGTAGGAATAACTACATCAGCTTCAGCAACAGTGTGAGTTTCAATTTCGATAGTAGGAACTTTGGTTGTCCATGCAACCCATTCACCGTTGTTAATTTGAACATCATAATCGATGATGGATGATCCAGGAAGTGCGGGCGGTAAATCGACAGTTGTGACGATTCCACGTACAAAATCTCCAAGTTGAGCACGTAAGTCAAGTTTTGCATCACCAGAAAAACTCCAAATAACACCAATGACTAAACGTTTTGTAACATAGCTTTCTAAATGTTCTGCTGACATTGGGAAGTCAGGATGTTGAGCGTTATATTCGATGATATTGCGTACGGTCTTATTCATCAATGAGAACAAAGTATTCAAGACGCGCATTGATGTGAAATCCATAATATGCTCCAATTTTTCAGCGTGTTCAAGGGTTTTTGTTACGAAACCATCGTCAGTCATGTGTTTACCAAGTATTTGCGAAACTGCGCGCTGCGTTGATAAATTCGGTGAAACAGATTCCTCAGCGCCATCTTCAGTTTTGCGTGAAGTATTTTCTTCTTCATTATCATCCAATGGTACGGCTTTAAGGGTTTCCAAGTAATTCGTATAAATCATTTTTAGAGTACAAACTTCCTCGCTGAACCAAACCATACCACAACGACTGACGGTAGCCAAAGTAGCATATTTCAGATTTTCTACTTCAAACATAATACGAACATTAGATGGAAGACTCAGACGTTCACCATTAGGTAAAGTAAGTAATTTATTGTCATCAAGAACACTATTCAAGTTTTCGACCCATTCAGGATCGACGTCACCATCAAAAATGATCCAATGTCTTTTTGAACTTTCGCCACGAACATTGTCTACAATTTTACGTAAAATATGTGTAAATAAACCATCGACCCATTCACGAGTAGTAGGGTCAAGAGTACCATAAAGTGCATCTTTTGAGATAGCTTTTGGATCAATGACATATGAAACACCTTCAACTCCCTGTACGCGCTCTAAAGCTTCCAAAAGAACTTTCCAAGCTACAGTTTTTCCAGACCCTGATGGTCCTACCATCATAAGACCGTGATGTAAATTTTGAATTTGGTAAAGTTGAAGTACCTTTTCCAACCACATTTCACCATCAAGAAGGCGTTTTTCTTGGCAAACATTTTTAATTTCATTTGTAAGTTTTTCGAGATCAACGGGTACATATTCAACACCAGGGAATACATCAGCCAATAAACTGGCCAACAATGGAATATCATCAGCGACCAATTTGGGAACGATTGTTTCACGAATACTTTGAATAACAATTTCTTGTTCGGGTATAGGTTCTGAAATCTTTGTATATTCTGATTCATCGCATTTTTTATCTCTAAGAGATTGAAGACGTTCACGTTTCAAATTACCAGCACTAACAAGCACACACTTCAAAGCACGTAAACCAAAATCATAATGCGCTTGTGGAGACAACTGTTCAGCACATAAGTTAAAAAGTGGTACTACTTTAGAAGCGAGAATTTCTGCTGTACGGAAACCTTGTGAGTAAAGCATAACTTGTGAAATTAATTCGCGGTCTGGTTTTGTCATAGCCATACTTCTAAAGAGTTTCTTCAAATTATCTGGTAAATTAGAACGCCCAGCATAACCAGGATTCATAGTAATGAAAATACCAGTATTTGCATTGACTGTAAGGCTCTTTCCAACAATTTCTACTTCTGCAGTTGGATTACTTGTAATAGCCTTTAATCCAAGTTGAATGGTTTGTACTTGTTGTGAAACAGCTGATAAAATTCTTTCTTCAAGACGATTGAACTCATCAAAACATCCCCATGCACCGACTTGACAGAGACCAACAAAAATACGTCCCATAGCTTGGAAATCGAAATTTTCGTCACAACAGAATACAAGTACAAACCTTCCAAGTTGTACACCAAGGGCCTTAACCGATTCTGTTTTTCCCGTACCTATAATAAATGATGAATGTAATTTTAGAATTTTGACATTAAAATAGGGGGGATTCGTGATACGAAACGTCCATTACTTACCGGCTATTAATATTTCAAATTTTGATATGGGTGAAGTAAAGTTCCGGCAAAAATAATAATCGGAGAAATAAATTAAGGAAATTGAAAAAAAAAAAAAGTCATAATAAAGACGAGAAGACGACAAAAAAATTTCACATGTTTACCTGGACCGAAGGGCGAACCTCCAAGTTGAAGAGAAAGAGCTTGAGTGAGGGTAAGATAACATCTGTCGGTAAGAGGTGTTTGTACTAAACGATCGGGAACACCAAGGTATTCGTAACCGTACAAGAATTGCGCATTTGCCATATTGATCGTAAGTCTAGCAAGAGGATCTTCGATGGATGCATTAAAGTAGAATCTCATTTGATATAACCATTCAAAATCTTTTGGTGAGGATATCTTGTTCTTAAGGAGTTGACGGATAAGATCACGTTGATGTACAAGTTCAGTAATTAAGTGTTCACATTTTTTACGTTGAGTTGGGGGTAATTCTGTAAGTACGGTATCAGCCAAAATATCTAATGCACGAAGTGCGAAATCAAGAGCGCGGTTTAATGGAGTTTGATCGTTACGATCACCTGATTCCATCGTGGAGAGAGCTTTATCAACAGACTGCGTCCAAATAATTTGAACAGCAACAACTACCAATTGTGATGGATATTTTGTAATCCAATCTAACAAGGTGCTAATAACCAATTCCTCATTAAGATAGAATGAAGTAAGGTCTACCACAGCTTTTGTTAACCATTCAGCAAGAGAAACTCTCATCTCTTTTTCAATTAAAGTCAGCCAGTCATTAATCTTTGGATTTTCTTTAATCGAAATTGGATGTATGAATGGAACTTCTTCACCTTCACGAGATGCCATTCCTTCAATTATTGTCAAGTCATCGCTCAATAATATATTAGAAATACCAGCAAACATCTTTTTGAAATGTTTCTGAATTCTAACAACATCTTTACTATTACCAATAATTTCGAGTAGATCTTCATCACCAACAAAGTAGAAACGCGGAAACGAAGAACGTTCTCTTTCAAGATATTCACCAAGAGCTTTTTGAATCTTACTTAAAAGATCTGATAATCGTTCCAATGACTTTTGAACATTAGGGATATTCAAAACATCAACTACGAAAGGTGATTTATAGACCTTTTTCATAACACCCAAGAATTCAGTATTGATGTTTGTAAAGCGTTGAGTTTCTACGGGAAGCAAATGTTTAATATCTGCACTACCACTAAATATACCTTCCAAATATACCCATTGACGTTGAACATCAATCCAGACGTCAAACAATACATGAATTCGATTTAATTTATCTTCCCACGTAGAGGCATCCTCTTCAAAAGTCTTGTAATATGGAGACATTTTCATAGCAGTCAATGAATTAAGATTTTCGCTACATTTTGTGAAAAGTTCATCCCAACCTTTAATAAGACGACATTTATTTTGATAATTGACAAGCTCAAGAACATAACTAGACCACGTTTCTTTAACACCTTTTAAGAATTCTTCAAGAGCCATTTCACCGGAAGCTTGAGTTACACTGTCTCTAATAATTTGCTCATTTTTCTTTAGGTCCATATCCCAAATATTACCAACAGTTAGTTCAGATAAAAGCCAACGACCCTCCATTCGTAAATCTTTAAATAATTTTTTCCAATGACGATCCTTCAAAGCCTCAGATTTAAGTTCGGAAAGGATAGGGTTAACTTTTATGTATTGTTTCATTTCACTTTGAACATATTCAAAGGCAGCATATGTACGCATACGACTGGGCATTTCTTTGGTAGAATTGAGAAGATTGTCTAATTGTTGTCTGATTTTACGAGGTACAGCTGAAGACCATGATTGATCTTTAAGTTCGTTAATAGATTGCCATACTTTAGAAAGAGAACTCCAAACAGATTTGAGATCTCTAAGTTCCTCAAGGACGGGATCTAAACGATCTTCAGAAGTTAAGGCCATATCAAGAGCTTCTTTTGCACGACAAACCATGTCATACTCTTCTTTGAGACGAGTAACACGACCCTCAAAGATATTAAGTGTATTTGTTGCAATATCAGGTTTAATGTTACCTTGAATTGGTTTAGTTTCGTCCCAGTCGGCAACGATATTTTTAATTTTTTCTTCAACGACTTTATCTTCGGTAACAATTTTCATTTGCAAACCGGCAATTTGTTCTTGAATTGCATTGTTCTTTCTATTTAAAATTTCATTAAAGGCACTCCATTCACCTTCAATATTTTCTACATATATCCAATCACTTGGGAATTGGTATCGTTGTCTTTCCAAAGTTTTTTGTCCGTTGCGGAAGATTTCAACATCTTGATTCCACTTAGCAACTTTACGTTTGAGATCTTGAACAAAGGTAATTAAAGTAACAGCTTCACTCGTGTTATTGCTTTCCATAGATTGATTTTCAAGGTCCTTACGAGCATGAGAAACATTTGTATGGAAATCTCGCATAGAATCTGCGATCTTATTACCGAATTTATTGAGTACTTCACGCTGCCATGAATCATATTTGGCATTAACTTTACTTTGTGCTTGTTGATAATCGATTTCAATTGGACCAAAAGATCGTGATGTATCAGAATTATCAAAAGTGTTTCTTGATTTTTTAATTTCAGTAAGAATTTGTTGCCATTTTAAAAGATCATCGCCAAGAATATTATACACGTTATTAGCTTCAAGATCCCATAATGATTGAAATTGGAACCAAACATTCACATATTCAGATACTTCTTTTAATTTGGCTTCAATTACTCCATAGGCCTTTTCAAGTGAATTGTCCGGAAGCTGAGTTAATAAATTAGAATAAGATGATTCACGACTAATAGTTCCCCTGACTTGTACATCGATATCGTATCTGGAACTTTGAAGCCTTGGAAGACTGCATACAATAGCAAGCCATTCATGTAATTGATTATACCAGTTGGCTCTAGCATCTTCAATCGGAGGGTCAAGATAAATTACTTGATTGCGAATACGAACTTCGTGAGTTGAAACAATAAGTGAAGGTTTTTCAGCTTTTAATATAACTGGTTTTTCGCCATCCATAGAATCATTTCTTGTGGTCCTACGCCTATTCTTCTTTACAACTTTGCCACTAATTGAAACTGCTTCACGGGACATAGACTCGGCATTGGCAGACTCATCGCCTGAAATCATAAATTCGGCAGTCCACGCTGATATTGCTTGTTGCAATCGATTAACAAGAACAGTTTCAACACGTTTATCAAGTTGAGAAACCCATGTGTTGAGATTTGAATATGACTCAAGATTCAGCATGTCAATTACTTTTTGAATTTTCTCTATGTTTAATTGTAATTTCCGGCTCTTGTAAACACAAGTTTTCAAATCTTCAATGTGTCGAGAGATATCATCATAACTAGTTATCAATGCATCTACCTTATCTTGGAAGATTGATACTTGATTTGCAAATTCTCTTACAAAAGTAACGTGTTGATTTTCAGTAGAGTCTAAAGTACCTCCGGTAATATGCAAATTAGGTCGGAAATGTCGATCATAAGTTTCGACAAAAAATTTCCATTCATAATTAATACCTTTTGCGATCATGTTTTGTACATCATTACGATAACTAGCTATTAACATTATAATTTCAGGATGTTTTTGAACTTTTTGAACAGTTTGTGCGTATGTTCGTACCGTTTCCATTAGGCTAACAGCAAAAGGATAAACGCGTTTTGCAGTTTTAGCGAGAGCACCAATGTTATGTGGTACTTGATGATTTAACCATAATAAATTTCTAACTTCTTTAAATAAAGTGATAATTTGTGGATCGAAATTAACACCCAATTGTAACATATTTCCTTGCGCACGATTTTTAGTAATTTCGAATAGACGACCGGAAACGTTCAAATCACGTCCTTTCATAATATCATTTTGCCAAGCTTCAAAAATCTGTAATGAAATATAATATTAACCAAGGAAATCTTTACAGAAACATTATGATAATGATTCATTATAGTTTAAAAAAACATTACCGGTCGAGTATCCAATTTCTTCCTAAAGTTATTGCTATCTGTTTGCAATTTTTGACCTTCTGAATACATTTCCCAACCTTTCCCAAGAACATCTTCAACACGTTTCATGTATGCTTGTAATTGACGCTCAATTTGTCGAGCCCAGATCATTGCGCCAGAGATAGCTGGTAAGTCACGAAGTTGAGCCATGTGATAAGCCTCGGATTTACGATATTGTTTTGTGAACTTGTCTTGAAGTTTTTTAATATCTTCTTTGACGTTTTCAATAAGCTGGGTTTGATATTCTTGTATGGCACCACGAATCTATATAAGTAAATTAGTTTAATAACAAATATTAAGTTAATTTAGATAACAAATTAATTCTAATTAACGACAAGAAAATGTAAAAATTATATAATACCTTTGGTCTAACAAACAAAGCATTAAATTTGGAAAACACACGAAACATCTCATTGGCATTCTTACAAGTACCAAGACGATCACGTAGACTCGCAATAATTTGATTTTCAACACGTGAAACGCGTTCGTTATAGGCATTTTCTGCTTGCATCCAAAGTTCAGTACCTTCAATTGTTACGTCCAAGACATCAATGTCCTTCACGCTTTCATAAGCTAATTTAATTTCTTCCATCGAACTTACATCATTCATATTTACAGATTCTTCTTCATGTCGTATCACTTTGTCTTCTCCTTCAACCATTATCTTTGTGGTGGCACCTTTAGGTTGTGACATAACTTTAACAATTGTTTGATGAAGTTGTTCATGTTGCTTTCTGAAATTTCTAACAAAGTAAACACGCTCTTGCAACTTGTCGTGAGCTGGACTGATTTTAATAGGAATGAACTTGTCTTGACGTTTGCGCGTCATGTCACGTGCTACGTTTGTAAATTCTTTAATCATTTCATCCCATGTCCTGAATACGTCCTCTGCACCAGCCATGACCTTTTCGAAATCATCATAATCCATATACATTAATCTCCGACTACCTAAGACTTTGAGTAACTGATCATTTAGATCACGTGAAATGGCCTCTACGAGTGCAAGTGCTTTTTTGATTGGATAAGGACTAGAAAATACGAAAAAAAATTATAAATATATGATCATTTATAAATGATTATAATTTTATGAAAATGAATATGAATATGAATATGATCAAGTCAAAACTTACGATAATCTCAATTTCTTATTAAAATGCATGAATATTAATTGTAATGAATCTTTCACTTTATTCACGTCAGGGGCAGAAAGTAGCTCACTAAGAGGAAAATCCTTCATAAGTTTATTGTATTTATGAACTATTATCAATTTATAAGAAATACGATTTATAAGTATATCATAATGATAAATTGAATTACAGAATTAATTGATTTACCTTTATCCATAACTTCCTTTAAACCGGTATCAGAAACAAAAGATGTTGTTGTATGGAAACGTTTAGCTTGTCGTAAAATACTTAATGTCAATTCTACAAAATTTATAAAAATTAATATCGAAATAATGGTAAAAACTTAATTTTAAAAAAACGAAAAAAAATGATAATCATACCAATTTCATCACTTTTTAATTGTTCATCAATTCCTTCCAATGCTGATTCCATACTTAGCCAGAAGTTAATTTCTTGAATGGCAGTACCGCTTGATGGATCACGTGTCAACTCGGTGACCTTTTTAATTTCTTTAATCCAACCATTTACATCTCCTTGAAGTTTATTCAAGAATTGTGAATCGGAAAGAAGCGATGTATCAACGATGTCAACGGATACACGAGTTCCTTCTAATTTGCACTATTTAATGATATAAAGTAAGAGTATTAGAAAATTCAATTCATTTCAAGTATATAACATTTTAAATCGATTATAATTAATGCTATCTCGGATTCGAACTAGGAAAAAAAAAACAAGAAGGGATTTTGAATTGAAAACGAAAAAAAAACTAACATTCTTTACAATATCTCGAACTTTTTCATGTATGTTAAGTGATATTTCGGGAATCTCAACATTCTGCTGCAAATGACGGAGTGACAATTCTAATTCGGCGATTTTCTTCTTGGCCATTGGAATGCCTTTAATAATAATATTAGGTTGAATAATTTAATTTACAATGAAGACGATCACTATTGACTTCGGAGAAGACACATACCTAATTTAGAATCATCAAGTTTTTTACCAGTAATGCTAAAAACGCCCTCGCCGGCACCTTTTTCCCTGACGTATGCATCGAAATAAGGTGCGACAGCAAGGTGAATGTAGGAATGCAATGCTTCATATGGACTCACGCCGGCCAAACCAGATTCACTTGATGCAGGGCCGGGTAAATTTATTAGTTGAGTTTGTGATTGGATTGATCGAGAATTGTCCAAAGTAGAAACAAGTTTTATGAAAGTGACGGAAGCAACGTTATTTGAATGATAAGTGATTTCTTGTGTACATGTGTATGTATATGTGACAGGTGCTTGTTCATCTGTTTGAAAATCAAAGGAGAAAATTAAATAAGAATTAAATTAAAATCGTTAAATTGAATATAAATAAACTTCTTTTTTAAAATTTTTATTATTGTGGCGTTTTTACAAATCTGCACTGGGTGGTACGCGTAATCAATATATACTGCGGTATAATTAAGAAACAAAAATAATTTACCTTCTTCTTTCTTGTCCTTCCTTTTCTTTGTGAAATATATAGCATTAACCTGGGGGTCATTTATAAAACGTTTTAGTCTTTCGGTGGTCTCACTCACAGACCATAATGATTTATCTAAATCAGAACTCTCTGCGCCCAGGACCAGAGGTAATAGTTTATTAAAATAATCTTGTAATTGAATTGGTTCGCAAGCGGAGGCAAGTGACGTGGTAGCTGCACCACCTGAAGTTTGAGATATTGTCAACGCCTCGCCGTGGGAATCCTCATCCATAATTTAATACAAATATAAGTAGAATCACAACAACACCTTAACAAGAATGTTGAAGCGATTTGTATTGAAAAAAAATTTTCCCCTGAGCCCTATTTATATCTGGTAATCGATTGATTAAGTTGATTACGCAAACGTATAATATTAAACCATAAAGTTGATAAATATTATACTTTAATTAAGAATTAAGTTCAAGTGATCTCTTTTTTTTTTTTCGATTTAGGGGATAAAGTCAGGTGTTAGCGTAATGCAAGAAAATTTATAGTTTAATGAAAAAAAAAAGGGTAAAACATGCTAATCATGAAAAGTAAAACTAAAGAAAATCATTTCCTATTCGGAAAAGCTTTTTTGTTTTTGGCGGCAGAATTTGTTACAGTCGATGGCTTGTTTTGGTGTTCGGGGGAAAATGATTTGGTTTCAAAAATTTAAAAATTTTATCTACCAATAACATAATGAGAAAAAAAAAAAAAACTTTTTCGTTATTATTGATTGACTTACACATGAAAAAAAGTTATAATAGCATGAAAATGACACCAAAAGATGTGAATAAAGACAAAGGAATTATAATGTTAACAACGAAACCAGAAGGTATTAAATATCGCTGCATTAATTATCACGTCCTACTAATGCATTTGCGAGTAAAATCCATGTGTCAAAGAGAAAAAATTATCAATATCCTGAATAGTTTAATAAAAAAAAGAAATAAATTTAAGCATATAGTTAATCCTTTATGTGGGTGAGGTATATGGGTATAGGCTCGATTTAAAGTAATCGGAGTCCATTTCAAAAAGTTTATTTCCTTTGTTACTAATTATGAAGCTTACAATAATAGGCAAAGTTTTCGGTTAATAATCCGGTTTCATAAAAATTTACCAATCTTTTTAAAAAATAGCGGGAATTTTATTTTGTAAAAATTCATTGTCAACGCGTTCTAATATTTAGTCAATTATGCGAGTTTATGCATAACAATTATGGCGATATATTTTGGCGGTAAAAAAAGAATCTAACTCTTTGCAAGAAAGAAGGAAACTGGCGAAAAAACGGAAAAACAAACGTGATTTATTATTTAATATATAAAATCATCTAAAATATAGAAAGATTTATTGAAAGCTATTAGTCTATTAGAAGCTTTTTAATACCAATGATTTTTTCTAAAAATTTTAAATTAACTAAATTTATATTTATTAAAATGATTTATAAATAATACAATTTAAAAAAATGATGATTATCAATACATCTTAAATAATTATAATTCTTATAATTTTAATTATTTATCATAAAATTTAATATCATATAAAAAGTTTAACTATTAAACTTCACATATGAAAATTTTATTATATTACAATTATAATAAGAATTTTAGCAAAAGAATTTACAATAAATTTTCTAAATATAAAATAAGATATAATATTAAAAATAAAAATTATAATATAAAAAATTATTGCTTATTTTTTTAGCATAAATTAATATAAAATATCATTTTATTAATTATTTAAATTTATAATATAAATTAAAATTACTTTATTTTGAAAAATCTTTTGTAAAGTCTAATATTTTATATAATTTATCAAGTGAAAATAATTATTATTTAAATAATTTAAATCTACTAAAAATCAAATATTTGAATTTAAACTATATCTTTAGCAGAATTATTTAATTTTTAATTGATATCAATTAATACTAACCAAATCAAATTAAATAAAACAATTTGATATCAATTTAGAATATAAATTTAGCTATAATCAGCATAAAAATTTGCTTAATTTAACTAAATAAACATAAAATTAATAAAATTTTATATACTTTCTTATTATAGCTATTTTTAATATTAAAAAAAATAATCTTTCTGATTCTTGTAAAAAAAAAAAATACATTTATAAAATATAAATATAATAATTTATTAAATGCTAAATTATCATATATAACTAAAATTATTTGTCTAAACTCATTTTGAATTTAGTGAATGTCTATATTTTAGTTTTACTAATTTCTATTAAAGTTTAATATAGTTTTACATTTTTATAAACTTTAGTATAGTTTTATCTTTTCTAAAATTTTACAGATTTTTAATAAAATTTTAATATAATTTTGCTAAATTTTACTTTTTATCATTTAAATAACTTGCAAAATATCTAGTAATTTTATATATAATCTTATTAATATTTTTTGTTATTCATCTTTTATTTTTTGTAACCTTGTATATAATCTTATTAAATTTTGTTATTATTTATCTTTTTATTTTCTAAAAACTAATTTTAATTTTAAAATTTCTAAATATTTTAATAATTTATAATAATTTTATTATTATAACAAGTAATATTTTTTTTATTTATTTATTAATTTATCCTTTTTTTATTTTTAATTATTTTTATTATATTTTAATCATCATATACATTATAATATATAATATAAAATAATAAAAGTAGTAACATATTTTACATAATATTTTAAGGGTAGAAGAGTAATTAAAAAATATATTTATATATAATATAATATAAAATTATTATAAGACAAAAGTAGGAATATGAGTTTATAGTAAATAGATATTATGTAATAAATATTACTATCTAATTTATATAAATTAGAAAGTAAAAATGTGTAAATTATAATATGACTAAAAAGCAGAAACTATTATTAAAGTCTGAAATGATTTTAACTAAAAAAATTCATACTAATATTTGTTTTATCTAGATTTTAATGCAATTACAAATACTAATCAGTATTAACTCAATTATTAATAGATGTATATTAGGATACTTTAAATAAAAATATATATAGTCAACTCTTGTTATAACGAACTATATATCCTAGATCTTAACTTTATTATAAGACTATAGTGAAGATCAGTGTGTAAAATTCATGTGCACAATGTGCACATGTGCACATTAAATTTTTATGTGCACATATTACACAGCAT